TTTGCTGAAGAAGAGAAGGTTAAAGGAAGCTATCATTGCTGCCTTCAACTCCAAGATGGAAGGGAATAGTGAAGATGGAGCCAGACTGTCCTCAGAGGTGTACAGTGACAGGATGGGAGGTGACAGACACATGCTGCAACAAAGGAAAGTCTATCAAGATAAAGAGATTCTTTCCATTAATAGGGGTGGTCAGACATAAGGACAGGGTTTGAGCAAGGAATTGAACTAGATGATTCCCTAAGGTCCAAATAATGAACCTCTGTCTTAAATTATTCCATGACTTCATGGAGAGATGATCATGGCTGTTTTCATTTTATTCTGTCTCAATAAATTTGATCACATTGACAAATCAAAGCTTTCATCGCTAGCCCTGCAAACCAGTCTGGGCACCTGGAAAATGAGACTGCCACTTTTGTGCCTTGTCTCTGGCAGAATCCTGAGGCTCTAGAAGTATTTCCACATCCAGTACCTTGTCCTATATTTGCTTTACAGATGGGGTCCTCAGCTGCTGCAATTCAGCAGTGCTCCCAAAGGCCCAGCAGGGACAGTGCCAGGGGGACAGTGCTGTATTTCATGCTGGCTGTAGCCAGTTGGTGCAGTTGGAGTGTTGTTAAAATGCACACCTGTACATCTGGCATTAACATCCCCGTATTCAATTCCCTGAATGATCTCTAACTGATTATTCCAGCAAACAGTCCTTAATTTACATGTTCCGCTGCATTTGCAACCCCCCAGCACCTCATCACATTTATACCAACAGATCTACTCTCAACCTTGGGGGGAAAAAAAGGAAAAAAAAAGCTTTCTTTACTGCCCCAGGTCCTAAAACTGGGTATCTGGCTGTGCTTGGGTGATTTGGCCTAGTTTTTTCTTTTGCTACTTGAATTCAATAGCCCAGTGTACGTGATGCCCTGAAAGGAACACTCCACCCTTCTCCAGGAAAAATTCTCCAAGGGCAGGGAACAGTTTATTAAGTCCTTTTCCACAAAAGCACAGTAATGTCACCAAACCCACTCAGTCATGCAGGAGATCTGCATCAAAGAAGAATAATAGAGACATAATATCCTTTGGGCTGAACAGAGAGCTGGGAGGGGATTGTGCATTTGGGGGTGAACGATACCATCAATGCTACCAACAGGATTTTACATTTGGGCAACTTAATAGGAAATGAGGGCAGAACTGACCAGCACTGTGAGAGATCTGCACACACAGCAGCAGCACACAGAGTGCCTGGGACCATGGAAAATTCCCATTAAAAATATAACTGTCAAGTTTGGATACATCTCCCTGAACCACTCATGACATGTACTTCAAAATAAGAAAGAAGTGCCTGAACTGGTGCTGCATTTCAAACCAACATTCAGGGCTTGATTTTATATTCCACTTCCATTTTAAAATCTATTTCCAGAACTGCTGCTTATTAAACCTGCCCTATTAAATCATCCCCCTATTAAATGCAATATGAATTAGGGTTTCCCAGTCTCTTTTTCATCCTCTTAACACCCTACCCTCTAACACTATACTTTTCCATACAATATTTTCTGTTCTTAACCAGAAGAATGTCACATATCTGAAAAAGAAAGAAGTGGTGAGTTTATGCTCTCTGCATTCCTCGATCTCATTATATATACAATGTCCTAAGGCAAGAGTTTGCCAGCTTAGATTTTCACTTGCTCTAGCCCTTTAATTTGTGTTCCCATCAGTGTTGTTACTGATTGTTAGCATTTGTTTCTATTTTTCTCATGAGCTTTTATTTTATTTTTTTTTGCTTAAGTCACTGATTAAATAATCTAAATCCTTCAGAGGGAAATTTAAAATTTCCTTCTTGTAGAAAAAGCAGAATGATTCAGTACCTGTGCTGGAATAGCATAAGGTAGATAACATTCATTTTGCTGGAGGTCTCTATTAGTTAAGTCAGAAAAATGACTTCCCTTCCCCCTCTCTCAGCTCCAAGAAACTGTGTAAGGACAAGGTGAGGAATCTTTCCATCCTCATAAGCAGAGCCTGTGTATATCAGCAGGGGCTGTACCACAGCCCCAGGGTATCACCAAGCCACACTGGGCTGCTTTTAGTGACAGTAATGAAAACCAGGGCCAGGGCTCTGGATATGGTGGGCTCTCCAATGTAGAGAATATGTGAGCTACCAAAAATCTTTAGCAGGTGCCAGAGACCTGTCTTGCAGAAAAATGAAGAAATATAAGCAGTTTCTTATTTACAATGACCCATTTCAAAACAAAAGTCTGGATAACTATCTCCTCTGAAATCAGTCCATGCTAGAAACGAAATCAACTTTCAGCTAGAACCAAAACCCACAAGAGAGAGAAGTCCTAGAGGTTTCATCAGCTGAGGATTCAGTGGGATTCATGAGATACCCTTCAGCCACCACTCCTGTACACATTCAGTGGCTTGAAGAACACAGTTAAAAAAATAATAATTGCATGAATGGCAGAAAAGTGCAGACATCTCAGACCCAGCAGAAATTAGGCCAGCTGTGATGCCATCTCACCTATCCAACAAGACACAGGTCATGCTGTCCTGAACACCTGGGAATGGCTGATGTCCCTAGAGAGGATATTGTTAGGCACAAAACTTAGCAACTTCATTGATTAGGGAAACAGAAAAACCAAAGTACAAAGTACAATTTTGGTTCTGTAAAAAAAAAAAAACAAAAAAACAAAACCAAAAAAAACAAACCCCCACAAACTGTCACCTTCAACCAAGCATAAGAGATGGGGACACAACATCCCTAACTACCAATAACAGAGCACAAACTGTATTTAAAAACATACCACAAAAGCATTCAGAAAATAAAAAGCCATTTAGCAGGCTAGATGCTGAGAGGAACAACCTTGTTTTCACCACATTCTGAGCTGGAAGTACTCCTAAAATGGAATAGTCAGCATTATTAATGCTCTTAAACTCCCTGGATTGAATGGACTATGGACAATGTCCCAGTGTTGCATTAACTGAGGAATAACCCCAGATCCTGGCAGAGGTGCTGGCAATTATGTGGCCTGTCTGAAATCCACTGATTTTTATAAAGCAGTTTGATCTTAAAAGAGGTGAGAAATCTCTTATTTCCTAACCTGTCCCTTCCCTAGGGAAGCTCAGTAGGGCAGGACCCTCCACGGGGCTGTACTGCATTTCTAAGCAGGAAAATGAGACAATCACAGGCCCTGCAGTCACCCCTTGACATCAGGGAGAAAGAAAATGGGACTGGAGAGAAATATCATACAGGAATATCCACCTATACATTTTGCCTGTCACTACATTTTCTGGCATTACATCCTCATCTTAAATAATATTTACACAGATGAAGAATCAGGCCTTTTACAGTAACAGGCCAAATTACAAGGTAAGCCCAACACTCCACTAGTTTCTTTAATAGAACAGGAACAAACTTCTTCCCGTGTTGCAGGAAGATGTTTCATGGGTTATATATTTTTCTGAACTGAGGAACCACCAGAGAAACACAGACTTTGGTTTCTTAGAAAGTTTCAAGTAGAAGGGGAAAAAAAAATAAAATTAAAAATTAAGGAAAAAAAAATCACAAAAATCGGAACAAATGACTTTTCTCTGAGGATAGCAGTCCTGTATGGTAACAATCTGAGGCTCAGGTCAAGTTTCTTTTGTGATACTTAAGATTTAAGGTTGATTTCCCCAGAGGATGAAATAAGCGGCTAAAAAAATGAAAGGTGAAATGGGTAGAAAAGGAATGAAGATGATTAACAGAAATCATCAGGGATCTCAGTGCTGTGTGGCCCATCCACAGCTTGTGCTACGGCCTCTGACATGAGATTTGCAGGCAGAGACTGCAGCAAATGAAGCTGCTTAGTTATTCAGCCCCCCTCCAGACAATCAGGGAGTGGAAGCAGCATTAATGAGACAGCTTTTAACTAAGGAGGATCCAGGGTGAAAGACCAACAAATACAGTACATAAATATGGTAATGTATTTATTGAGGTAATTTTTTCTGTAGCCTGTACGAGGCTGCAAAAATGATTCAATTCATTTTATGCAAGAGAAGTGCATTCATCTCCTTTAATTAGGGAGAAAGTAGGACTGGTACTAGGATTAAAAATAAAAGTAGGGTTGATTTTGAAGTCCTCTATGTACCCCATTCTGGTAAGATCTGATAAAATACTTCCTCCAACACTGTTTCTGACTCATGGGAATATTTGTGAAGTACATGACTGGAAATTCAATAGAATGGCCTGTACTAGTTTCTTACTCTGGCAAGAAAAACTCTGCAGATACAAGTAAGCACACAAATAAAAGTCTACACAATATAGTAAATAATGTAGTATTTTCATTAGAATATCCCTGGGATTCCCTTTAATTCAGTATCAGACAACCCTACACAGTTCCTGAACAATGAAGCACAAATGGGCCTCCTCAAAAGGATGCATTACATGAAAATCAAGAATGGCTTTTTACTTACTGGTTTCTTAAAGGGTGTTACCTCTAGTAACATCTGTCACACTTGCAGCTTTAATTATTGTACATTTCTTTCATCTGCTGCTTTTCTCATTTGTTCTCAGAGGAAAAATAGAAAATGAAGATTAAGCAATGCAGTAATATTGCAAAGCTCCTCTGCAATAACAGAAGTGCTGTCTGCAATGATGATAAATCCCAATATGTTACCATGCAAAACACCAAATCTGAGTTTCCAAAAAGCCTGATCCCAGGTGTGACACTTCTTGCACTGCTGCTGATCATGAGCCCGACGAGCAGCTCAAGATGTTTACAATTCCCTTGCAGACAGAAATCCAGACTAGACAGCACTGCCTGTATTGTAGTCTGGAAAATGGGTACATTTGAAAGTTTGTAAACCGTGTGATTTGAATGACCTGAATCTTTTGTGTCTGTAATTTTTGTTCTAAATTGAACAAGATCAAGCATAAATTGACAGATCATCCTGCAAGTTGGGAACAACAGCTTTAGTTTCTCTGTGCTTTGATAATAGAACATGTCTGAGAAACACCACTTTGTGTTACTCACTGCATGCTGCTTCTGATTCATCTGACCCGTCGGGACATTCTTCTTCCCCATCACATTTCCACCTGGCTGGGATGCAGTGCCCGTTGTCACAAGTGAAATCTGACTCAGCACAAGTTTTCTTTGCTGCAAGAAGAGAAAATACTTGGCATGAATATAAACAGTGCAGAAGATCTCCACTGCACCCAACCCCACCAAGGACGATACGGATTGCTCTATACTAAGAGGATTTATTTCACATTCAATATTGCTTGTTCATGACAGAGTCCCACATATATCACAGATGGGAGAAACACCTATGAAGAGTTCCCATTCTATGAAGAGTTCTCACTTGAACTCTTATCCCTCCATTATTTGACAAGGATTCACCCTTCTGTGTCTTTTTCCAGCCATTCAAAAAACAGGGATGTTCTTTTTCAAGATAATTTTCGAAGGCTTTTACTATGAAAAGCTTCCATGCTATCATGGAACTCAAAGCATGCTGCATGATTTACAGACAAGCAAGACAAACAAGTATCACCTTTGGAGTACTATAATCTAAATAATAATGTTTCTATCCATGCCATCTATTCATGGCTTGTTAGTACATCTGTCACCACAGCAGATGATCACAAAGTACTCCTTCAAACACTAACATTCATTTCATTAAATGTCAACCACTCCACGCTCTTTGCTTTGCTTGCATTAATCTAGGGCTTGAAAAAGATGCAAGACATGAATTCAAGCAATTAATTGGTCTATTCCTCTGTGCCAGTGGTGCAGCACCATTTGCTCTGCAATTCTAGTCAGCATCTTCCCACTGCGGCAGAAAGAGAAAATTCTACATATATTTGGTCCCTTCAGGCTGAGGTCTCAGTGTTGATGTGACACCACTCGCTCACTGCTTTAGCAGTGGTGACTTCAGGGGCTTTTCTGCTCAGTCCTGAGCAAGGGCTGGGGCTCAGTGTCACCACATTGAAATGAAATGCTCTCTGGCTAGCTGCTATCTACCTCTGTTAGCCACCAATTGACACAGGAAGTACTGGCAGGGAGATTTGTCTCTTCCCCCTGCAAAGCTGCTCACAACCTAATAGGATCATAGTAAAATTCAGGTAATGAAGGACCTCAGGAGGTCACCAAGTCCAACCTCCTGCTCTGAGGTCAGACCAGGCTGTTCTGTGTTTTATCCAGTCTGGTAGTAAGAAAAAAAACCCAAGATGGAACAGCACAACCTCCCTGGACAACTTGTTCCAGGGCTTAGCTGCCCTCATGGTGAGACCTGGGCTTGCCAAGCCATTCTCTCTTACAAGTCATGTGAACACATATTGCTACATCAATATTTCTTCCAGCAAACATTTTCAAAGCATTAAATACAACAAATAAGCCTCTGGGGTTTGATCTTTTACTTTCCTTTCTTGTTTTCCTACATGAGCTGCTGTCAGGAAGGGAGTCATGTTAAATATCACTCACGTGCCCACACAGGAAACATGGAGTGTGCAGCTACATGGCTGAAATAAAGCACTGATTTTCTAGCACACAAAACATGCAGCTTCCCTGAGCAGACATCCAGCAGGAAAACACTGCAAAGCACCACTAAGCAGCTGTACAATCTCTCAGGGTACACTTTTTAAAGAGAATATACATTTACTCCCCTTCTGTTGCTAAATGAACCAGATTCTGGGGAATGGGAGGGGGAAAAAAAAGGGACAATTTTCAATTTTCTCTTCAGCCATTCAGAAACATATTATGGACTAATACAGGATAGAAAAACCATTTCCATATAAACCAAGAGCTTTACAAGACACCAGTCATACTAAGGATCATCCAAAGACATTGCACATATGTTATCAGAGGGAAAAGACTTTCTCCTGAATATCTCCTTTTAGAAATCCAAAGCTTGTGAAACTGGCTTTATTGCACATCACTGCTGGGGTATTTAATGAAAATTTTAATGAATCTGATGTATTTAATGACCAGAAATGCTGATACTGATAGGATACCCATGCATAGCTGAAGTGAGAACACTCTCCTGGCTTGCTGGGAAGCTAACTGGGTAAAATATTCCTGTCTGCTCTTAGGGGAAGGTTGTGGCATCTAAATAATCACAGCTCCATCCAGAAAGGAGAGACCAGTGTAATAGTGGAAACAGAAACCTAATTTTTAAAATATTGTTTTGTACTCACTCTCTCAATACCATAATACTGCTTTGTACAGCAAAACTGTCCTTGAACTCATTCTCTAGAGATGCAAATAACAATAAAACTATTATTGTGCTTAAAACAAACCTCTCCTTTTGCCATCAGTCTCCCAGTCTGATATATTTTGGGGACACAGGGATGCAGGAGCGAGGGGCCAGCCCAGGGAGGAGTGGCAGGGGCGCTCCCTTAGCATGGCCAAGCGTGCAGATGGTGGCACTGATGGCTTGGTTCCCTCCTGCTCCTCCTCGTGCACCACAAGCCGTTCCTTGCTATGGCTCACAACGGGGCACCAAAGCATTGCTGCCAGTGCTGGGCCTCAGGAGGGGCTCCTGTGCTCCCTCCCTTGGGCAAAACAAAGCTGGGCACAACCACTCACCACCAGTGGCTGAATCCAGAAGTGTCGCCGTGTCCCAGGCACTCCTGAAGGTCCAACAGTCCCATGACAAAAATTGGCAGGATACGAGTGTTTGGTCTTTGTTTGAATCTAAATTGTCTCATCTCTTCAAGGAACAGGATTCAGAGAGGGGGAGCTCAAACCTTTTTATGATTCTTATATTTACTTCTGCTATTTTTAAAATATTTTGCTTTTTGTTTTTTATATTTTAAATATTATCTTTTATTTGCGTTGTTTTTTTTTTACTACTCTGTGTCAGAGCTCTGCAGACTGTCTCAATTCAGTAACTCCACTTTCTGCTGCAAACAGCAACACAGATTATTCAAACTGCAGGAATACTGAAGCATTGTCTCATTTCTCACCTCTAATACAAGACTGGAATTACTTTATTTCTAACCAGATTTACCTTCTGGCACTCAATCCTCATGTCTCTGGGATCACAATGCAGGCAGGGAGCAGTTAATTAAAATATCAGCTCTCTGTTTTTTCCTTCCTTTTTCTTTTTGAAGTCTGATAACCCTTTTTATTAATCTCCCATGTTATACACCTTCCTTCTATCAATAATTCATTGAGGCTCACACCATAAATTGCCAGTGGTGCATTAAAATGTAAAATAAATAAATACATCCCTTTTAGACAATGGGGAGGACACGGGTTCATTTTATGGTTTCACCTGGCTCAGAAATAGTCAAGCAAAATTAATTGTCCCCCTGAGATCCATTTCCTTTGCCGTAAGCAGCCCAGACAGCTCTGCTCACATGTCTCTTCCAAACGAACATAAACAAACAAGAGTGAGCAGTCACAGCATCCCTGAGCCTCTGTTCCTCGGGGGACAAACCGATACCTGGAACGAGAAGAGAGACGGCTCCCGAAGCGTGCGCAGAGCCTTTCATCTCCTCCCCGGCTCGGCTGCACGCACTGACACCAAAGAGGCTCCTGCTTCATTTGCCTTTAGTTCCTGCTTTTCCTTTCCCACATGTGCAGGTGGACAGATCTGTCAGAAACTCCAGTGGCTCCTGTGTGCCCACGGGGCTCAGCTCCCACAGGGAATGAGACCTGGCTTGGGCAGCTCTCCAAAGGAGCCTTAGTTAAAGTCATTCCTGCTTCTCCCAGAAAGAAAGGCAAGGGGAGAGGGAAAGAAGATTTCAGTTTTACCCAGAAGTGACAGAAAAATATCCTAACATGGTGAATTTTAAATAAAACTGCATCAAACTCAACCTGGCCCCTCATTTTCTAAAATGTCTGTTTTCATTCCATTACTCACATCTCTTATCCTGAACTGCAAGTAAGGATTCAGAGGCCATCCCTGCAGCAAATTAAAAGCAGGGAACCCAGGGAAAGTGGTTTTGAACATGAACATTTACAAAATGAATTCATAAAAAAGCAGTGACTGGGGACATGTTTAATTAGACTGGAGGGAACAAATATACACTGAAAGGAACAAGCCTTGGACTGGCTAGGAGCAGGGACTGGATGATATAAATGTGACTTCCAACTTTCAAAAATACCTAGTTCTGAAAGATCAAATCCCTGGCCCCAACCCAAACAAGGTATCTGAATCTAATGGAAAAGTCCAGGACTGTTTCTTTTTTTCTCTCTTTCTAATAAAATCCAACATGCTCCCACTGCCCTCAGTCACTTCATTTAACCTCACTTAACTTTTGCCTCAGTTTTAGAGGCTTTACAAGGCAGGTACATCTTTCCAGTTACTCCTTATAAGACACCAGGCCCTCCACTACTCAATTTCCACTTCATGCCCTGTTTATTCCTATTTTGCACATCTTTAATATTAAGCAATACTCAACTCTAAAATAGTTTCATTTCTTGCCACTCCTGATTTCCCCAAACCAACAGCTGAAAACCAGAATGAACACATTTCCTCTTTTATCAACAGTTTTATGTAGCAGTTCAACAGCAGCAGTAACGTAAAAGCACACAATAAAAGCATATTTTCTTACTCCTTCTTGCCTGTAAATAACACTTGAAAATGACGGTTTGTTTTTCTCCCCATGAGACAATGAACCCTACGTAGTTCTAACACTCTAAACACAGGATTTTTAGACAAAGGGTTTTGTTCAAACTCTGGGTTGTGTATCCAGACAGAAAAGCAGGCCAAGGAGAGCATCCTTGAGTGTTAACCCACAAAGACCCTGCAAACTGTGCCCTCTCCCTATTTTCTCCCCTCAGTAACTCTTAGGCAATTTCTATCAATTCTATAAGAGGGGAACAATGTGGAAAATAATCACAGAAGTTTCATAAAATTGAGAGCTGAATAGAGAACAATCAAAGTCACAGTTCCACAGAGGGAGATAAGGGGAGAAAGGGACCACAGGGCTGATCTGCTCCGTGGGCTGCCAGTCAGCCAGGGCTGCCCACACTCTGCATCTCATCCCAAGGTGGGTTTATGGCACAGGGAAGATGGCAGTTAGGGATTAAGAACCCCAGACACCAAACTCATTGAAAACTGGTTTCATTTGTTCCACTACCCTCATTCCTTTACGCAGATCCTGCTCCTATTTTAATTTCTGAATCAACACCAGACTTCCCATCAAACT